TCCTCCTTTCTTTTGCTGCTGTTGTTCCTTTTTTTCCTCTCCAAATATTTTGACAGTTTTTTGTACAATAAACAACACATGAAGGGTACAGTTCGATAAGTTTTGACCCGTGTAGATGCCTGTGGAGCAGTCGCCCCAGTCAAGGTAATGAACACATCTGTGTCCCCAGCGTCGCTCATGCCTGGGGTCTGACACTGTTTCAGTCAGCCTCAGGCTATAGGGACCGTGTTTTACTTGCTCTGGACCCTCCCCTTGGAGGACCAGGGACTCTGCCGTTGGTCTCCATACCCCCTGGGTTCCAGCAAAGTCTGGCCCATGACTGACCAGATGCAAACTCAAGGATTAGGAAGTTCAGGTCTTTTGAGAAACCTGGGAAACTAACTCCCATTCCCAGGCTCACATTCATTCATCTGTTCATTCAACCAATATTGTTAAACACTTGATAAGGAACAGGAGGCCTGGTGCTGGGAAGGACCCCTGCCACAGTGAGGCAGGTGAGGAGGTGGCCTTAGAGACGTGAATGGAGAGAAGCCCAGTGTGTGAAAATCTGGGGGATGAGCGTGCCAGGGAGAGGACCCGGCACAGGGGATGGCCCTGCCCCAGAAATCAGTCAGGTGTGTTAGAGGAGAGAGGGAGGGCAGGGCGAGGCGGGAAGGCGACCTGGAGAGCCTTGGAAATGACAGTAAAGGACGAAGTTGGCCAGTGGCAAGGTGGCTGCTGTGTGGGTGGCTCCTAGGAGATGCTTGACTCCTTCACGCCAGACCTGGCTCCCTAGAGGCCTGACAGCCACATTTAGGAGTTCTGGAAAAAGGCTGCACATTGGGCGCTGGCTCTGCTCTCCTTGTGGCAGGTCCCCCCCTCCGACAACCGGGAAGGATTGGAGCAAACATCTCACTCCAAATGACAAGCATAACTTCTAGTCAGTCTCTCCTGAGCCCTGCTCAGAACACACTTCATATTTCTCTTCCTCCAGCCTCAAGCCAGTGATCTCTTATTGATGGCGTTTGTTTTTTAAACAGCTTATCATTTACATACCATAACATTCACCTGTTTTAAGTGTACTATTCGATTATTTTTAGTCAATTTACAGAGCTGTGTAATAAATTTTAGAACTTTCCCATCACCCCCCAAAATTCCCTGGTGCCCATTTGCAGTCACTCCCTGTTCTGATCTCTGCCCTTTCTCTCGGAGTAACGTCCTCACGGTTCATCCATGTTGTAGCATGTATCAGCATTTCATTCCTTTTTATGGCTGAATAATTCCATTGTGGGGATACACTTGTTTATCTGTTCATCTGTGGATGGACATTTTGGTTGTTTCCACTTTTTCGTCTTCTCAACAACACTGCTTTGAACATTTGTGTACAAGGCTTTGTGCGGACATATGTTTTCATTTCTCTTGGGTCGATACCTAGCAGTGGAATCATTGGGTCAGATGGTAAATATATGTTTAACATTTTAAGAAACTACCAAACTCTTCTGCACAGTGGCTTTACCGTTTTTCATCCCCATCAGCAGTGTGAGGTTCCAGTTTCTCCACATCCTCACCAACACTTGGTATAGCCATTCTTGTGGATATGAAGTGTTATCTCCTTGTGGTTTTCATTTGCTTTTCCTTAATGATTCATGATGTTGGGCATCTTTCCATGTGCTTATTAACCATCTGAATATCTTCTTTGGTGAAATGTCTGTTAAAATTTTTTGACTTTTTAAAAATTGGAGTATTTGTCTTCTTTGTTGAGTTTTAAGAGTTCTTCATATTCTGGATACCTCTTCCTTATCAGATATACGATTTGCAGATATTTTCTCCCCATCTATAGCTTGTCTTTTCACTTTCTTAATGGTGTTTTTGAAAAGTTTTAATTTTGATGAGCTCCAATTTAACATTTTTTTTTTATCGTTTGTGGTTTTGGTGTCATATGTAAGAATTCTTTGCTGAATTCAGAGTCACAAAGATTTAGTCCTATGTTTTCTTCTAAGAGTTTTCTAGTTTGTGCCTTTCAAGAATTTGTACATTTCATCTAAGTTGCCTAAATTGTTGGCAAACAGTTGTTAATAGCATTCCTTTAAAATCTTTTTTAATTTCTGTGAGATTGGTATTGGTGTATCCTCTTTCACTCCTGATTTTAGTCACTTGTGTTCTCTCTCTCTCTCTCTTTAAATTTGGTCAATCTAGCCACAGCTTTGTAAATTTTGTTGCTCTTTCCAAAGAACTAACATTTGCTTTCATTGGTTTTTCCCTTTATGTTTTCTATTAACTGATTTTCACTTTAATCTTTATTATTTCCTCCCTTCTGCTCACTTTGGGTTTAATTTGCTCTTTTTTTCTTTTTGTAGTTCTTAACCTGAAAACTTAGGTATGATCTGAGATTTTTCTTTTCTAATCTGGGTATTTACAACTATAAATTTCCCTCTAAACATGGCTTTAGCTGTGTCCCATAAATTTTGGGATGTATGCTTTCTTTTCTCTTCAGCTCAGAATATTTTTTGATTCTCTTCTTTGACCTCTTGGTTATTTGGAAGTGTGTTGTTGAATTTTCACATATTTGTGGATTTACCAAAGCTCCTTTGTTATCGATTTCTAATTTCATTCCATTGTGGTTAGAGATCATACTTTGTATTATATCAATTCTTTTAAATTTATTGACACTTGTTTTGTGACCTCATATATGGTGTGTCTTGCAGAACGTTTCACGTGCACTTGAGGAGAAGGTATATTTTGCTGTTGTTGGGTGGAATGTTGTATAGATATCAGCTAGGATAATCTTGTTAAGTCTTCTGTATCTGCTGATTTCCTGTCTAATTATTCCATCCATTATTGAGAGTGGAGAAGGATCTTGAAGTGTCCAACCATTAGTGTTGAATTGACTGTTTCTCCCTTCAGTTCTGCCAGTTTTTGCTTCATGTCTTTTGGGGCTAGGTTGTTAGGTGTACGTGCATTTGTGTTTGTTACATCTTCCTGATGGGTTGACCCTTTTATCACTGTAAAATGTTCTCTTTGTCTCTAGTAACATTTTTGGTCTTAAAGTCTATTTTGTCTGATATCACTATTGCCGCTCCTGCTCTCTTTACGGTTACTGTTGGCATGGTGTATCTTTTACTATCCTTTTACTTTTGACCTATTTGTGCTTTTTGCCCTAAATATGTCTTGTGTAGACAGCTGATATTGAAGTTTTTTTTCTTAAATTGAGTGTGACTATCTCTGCCTTTTGGTTAGAGTGTCTAATCTATTCACATTCAGTGTTATTGTTGCTGTGTTTGGATTTCCAGCTGCCATTTAGCTATTTGTTTTCGGTATGTTTCATGTTTTTTTGCTCTCCTGTTCCTCCTTTACTGTCTTCTTTTCTATTAAATAGAAATTTTCTAGTGTGCCATTTTAATTAATCATAAGCCACAATGATAGCACTACACACCCTCTAGAATGACTAAAACTGAAAAGATCAACTATCAAGTGTTGACAAGAATGTGGAGAAACTGGAAATTGCTCATGGGAATGGAAAATTCTACAACCACTTTGGAAAACAATTTGGCAGTTTCTTACGAAGTTAAATATATGCTGAACACATGACCCATCCCTTCCACTCCTAGGTATTACTTGAGAGGATGGAAAATTTGTGTCCAAAAATATACCTGTACATAAATGTTCATAGAAGCTTTGTGCTAGGCCCAAATGGGGTGAAAACCCAAAATGTCTGTCAGCAGGTGAAAGGATAAATTGTGGCGTGTCAACACGGGAGGACTCCTCACAATAAGAAAGAAATGATATATGCAACAGCGTGAGTGAATCTTAAAAACCTGATGCTGTGTGAATGAAGCCAGATAAGAGAGTGTGTACTGTATGAGTCCATTGAGGAGTGCTGGAAAAGGGAAGTCTGTACCAGCAGAAGCAGATCAGTGGTTGCCTGGGGCAGGGGTGTGTGGTGTTTGACTGCAAAGGGGCAGGCGGGGACTTTCTGGTGATGGGAATGTTGCGTATCTTGGCTGGGGTGGTGGTTCCATGCGTGTATACATTGGTGAAAACTCATCAAACTGTGTACCTACAATGGGTATGTTTTATTGGGTATATATTAAACCTCAAACTTTAAAACTTTAAAAAGTTAAAAAACTTTTAACTTTAAAAAGTTAAAAAAAACAACAACATGGAACAATTTTTCAAAATGGAAGGGAAATTATTTCCAACCTAGATTTCCCTACAGACCAACTATCTAGAAATTAAAAAAATGAGAAAATTCATTTAAGACATGTGAAGGCTCAAATTTTCCCTTCCATGTTCCTTGGTTTCAGGAAAATATTACAGATAAATTGTTCCATGGGCATCGGATTTAGAAATGTGGAGGCAAAAATAGATGAGCATTGTAAGATCAGATAACAAGTGAGAGACCAGTTCGTTGAAGGGGCTGATTTGGGGGAAGGGGGGCCAGGGAGGTGCTCTTTTCGGTTGGAAGCATGTAGTATATTTGAAATCTTGACCTTGTGAATATATCACTTTCATAAACATAAAACTCACCATAAAACAAAGACTAGTGATTGTTTCCAAGTACGTGAGCTACAGGGGCTGTGAAATACTTGGCGGAGGGGGGTCACTTGCTCCCGGAGGGGTGTTCTGGTCAGTGTGGGCCCGGCCCCCTTGACGGGAGGGTCAACAGGGGTCCTCCGGTGTTCATTTCAGTGTGGTCATTTCAGGCTCCAAAGAAAGAGGTGCTCGGGGGAAAGAGGCTATCGGGGGAAGAGGCTCGGGGGAAAAGGGAGCGAGACTTACTCTGGGCGTCGGAGGGAAGGCCTGGGCCATGTGCTGGGAGGAAGGAATCCCCTGTCCTCTCTCTCTGCCTGAGAGAGGAGAAACCGATCCTGGATTGGGCCCTAGAGACACTCCTGTTATGCTCAAAACACCACCAGCAAGGGGAGGGGTCCCTCTCAGGGTCTGACGTCTGAGTGGAGAAGAGAGAGGTGGGCCCGGGGACAGGGAGAGAGGAGTGATTGGTTCCCACTGCTGTTTTTCAGGAAAACCAAAATGCCACTCGCTTCGTCCTGTCACGTTTTTCCTGATCACGCTCGTCTTGGTCTTCTTTGGGTAAGAAACACGCGTGGCCATTGAGGCCTGCCAGCTCGGGGAGAAGCAGCAAATCACATCCTCATGGGCACCCTGAGCTGCCCTCCCCCCGCACCCCCCCCAGTGTCACAGTAGTGATGGCAGGACTGATGACAGCGAGCTCACGGCTCCGGCCGGGCTGCCCGCCTTCACACACACCCTGTTACTGAAGCCTCACCGTTTGAGTGAGCTGTCTCCCCCGAGGTCACACGTGGGGAGTTGGGGGCGAGGCCAAGGAACACCCCTGAGCTGTGTGGCTGGGGAGTGGGGAAGGCCGCTTGGGAGCCATGCTGTTAGCCTCTTCCAGCTGGAGAAGGTGCTGGAACTACAGAGTGAAGTCATGTGGCCGCTCCACTGAGGGCTGGGTTCACTGCCAGGAATTGCTCCCTGAGGCAGCCTCGGGGCTGTGCTGGCCGTGCACAGAGACCCACTACAGCTGCCATAGGGGCTCAGACGGGAGCACTGTCCACAGTGACCACCCCTCCTGCCACCTCCATGACATGTGACGAGTCGCCCGAGCTTTGGGGAGTTGCTCCGCTCTGCCCGAGGCCTGGCAGCCACGTCAGGGAGCTCGGGGCTCACCACATGGGCTCCGGCTCCTGCTTTTCAGGGGCTGATGGACAGGCCATCCAGCTCTGCCCTCCTCAACAGTGGCCTTTGGTGGCTCTCCCCACAGCGCCGGTTTCCTGAGCCCGAGAAGCCCGATGCTGGGGAGCAGGCGAGCAGAGGCAGGGTGAGTGAGGGTGAAGGATGGGGTCACGCTGCCGTGACAGCCAGCTCGAGGACTGGCCAGGTGCTGGGGGGCGGTGGGGGCTGACACCTTGGTGGGTCTGGACCTCCTCCTCTTCCCTCTCTCCGCTCTGCCCAGAGCAGCTCGGCCGCTTCTGTGGCCTTGAAGGATCACCTGGGCAGCACTGACTCCCACGGGTCTGGCTTCAGCCTCAACCTCCCACCTCTTGGGTCACCTGTGTGTCCCACGAGTGACCTCCTGCTCCTCCTATTTAGTACATGGCCTTGCCTCCCACCCCAGGGACCCAGGCAGAAACCTGGGGATCGTCCTTGACTCTTCCTTCATCCACACCCCACACTGCTCAGCCCCAAACCCGTCCGTCCTGCCTGGAAGCACCTCTCTAGCTTGTGTCTGTGCTCTCCCTGCTGCTCTGGGTGAGGCTCCCCTCTTCTTTCCAGCAGCCTCCATGCTCTTCTCCCTGCCCTCTGCCCCGACCCCGTTCTCCTCCATTAGCCAGAGTGATCTTTTCGGAACATAACGTATGAACCCCCCATGGACTGCTCCCCCACTGCCCGGCCTCTCCAGCCGCATCTCTCCCACTGTGGTCCTCACCTCTGTGGTCCAGGCCAGGTGATCTGTCTTCGTCCTGCACATGACATGTGGTCCTGACTGTGGGCCTTTGCACATGCTGTGCCCTCTGCCAGGGCCACTCTTCTCTCCTTCTGCTCTTTGTATCTGGCCAGTTCCTTCTTGTATCAGTCATCTGCTGCTGAGTAACAAACCCCAATTCATGATGTGAAACAATCACAGCCATCGATCCCTGTATCTCTCCAGGTCCTGGGGTTGACTGGGCTCAGCTGGGCACTTCTCACTTGAGTCACTCAGGTGGGTGTAGGCAGATGGTGGCTGGGCTGGGGTCAGCTCGAAGCCCTCCTCACATTTCTGGCTGTTGATGCTGCCTCTCGGCTGAGACATCTACCCGGCGCCTCCCCAAGGGCCTGGCTTCCTCTCTGCTTAGTTAGGAGGTTCTAAGGTCAGTGTCCCCAAGAGAGACAGAGCTGCACACCTTCTCTGACCTGCCTTCAGAAGTCCCATAGCATCACCTCACAGCTGCATTTCATTTGTTAGACTCTCGAGACCAAGGCCAGTCCGTGTGCAAGGGGTGGGGAGGAGACCCCCTTCTTGATGGGAGGGAGCCTCAGAATGCAGACATGTCTTGAAACCACCCCCTGCTCAGTCTCAGCTCAGCAGCATCTGGTGAACGTGGGGGCCTGCAGATCAGCGGGGGGCCAACCTCCGACTGCACTGTCTGGTGTCACAGGGTCTAGGGACACACAGGGACACGGGACAGCAGCGACGGCTGTTCTGGCATGTTTCAGACCGACTCCATCTGCACACTCCAGGCCGCCGCTGTCCCCCTCGACCAGGACCCCCGACTGTGATCCATGAACTTGTGCCCTGATTTCTCCTGCTAAAACCCCCTCTCTGTGTTCTCATTCTGCAGCAAGGCTGGAAGGGAGCCAGACAGCCTGCAAGTTGTGAAACTATCGAGGTATGACATCTTTATTTGGTGCCTCCCCGTCAGATACCTGCCCTCCAGCCCGAGTGTGTGCTCAGGGTGAGAGGTGTGGACGGGCTGTCTTCCCTCCTGCGCCTCAGATGGAGCGTGGCTGCTCCCTTCCCCGAGTCCCGGGTCTGACTTTGCCCTCCTCCTGCAGCCACAGAAAGATCCAGGTGTAGCTGGTGCTTCAGTTTTGACCAGCTGCATGGCATCTAGCTTTTAAAGAGGGTAACCAACTGGCCTGGTTTGCCAGGGCCCAGTGGTTTAGGGGGAGAGGTTCTGGAATGTGGGCCTTTATCAGTGCTGAAACCAGAAAAGTCTCAGGCAGTCTGGGACAAGGCGGCCACCCTACTTTTTAAAAAAAAATTTTTAACTATGGTAAAATACACATATAGTAAAACTTACCATCTTAACCATTTTTAAGTGCACAGTTCAGTGGTGTTAAGTACATTACATTGTTGTGCCTCCACCACCACCATCCAGCTCCAGGACTTCCTCTTCCCAAACTGAAACGCTGTCCCCGTTAAACACTAACCCCCATCCCCTCCCCCAGCCCCTGGTATCACCTTTCCACCTCCTGTCTCTGTGGATTTGAGGACACTAGGTCCCTTATATAAGTGGAATCACAGAGCATTTGTCCTTCTATGACTGGCTTATTTCCCTTGCATCGTGTCCTCCAGGTTCATCCATGGTGTGGCATACTGCAGAAGTTCCTTCCTTTTTAAGGCTGACACCCTACTTTGAAATGCCATCCCAGGAAATGCAACTTGCAGTCATTATTGACAATGGTGGCCCGCGGGCTCATTTTTCCTGGGGGCTCCACAATACTGTAGTTGGGACAGGGCCACTGCTCCCTCATTTTCCCAGGCTGCCCGTGACAGTGTTGTAAGTCCCCGATGGAGCTGGTCCTGTGACAACCAAGTTGGGTAGGTGTTCCTCTCCCCACGTCGCAGACAGGAGGCCTGGGCTCTGAGAACCTGGAGACCTGCCCCCCTCACCCAGCCGGGGAAGCGGCAGAGCAGCTCAGGCCCAGGTGGACTGTCCGCGTGTCTAACGGCCTTTCCCTTGGGCCGGCTATTCCGTGGGGGAACTCCCTGGGACAGAGGCCACTTCCAGCCCCCTCCTGCCCACAGTGAATTAAAACACAGCCCCTGAGACTCCTCCTGCTCTAAGTCAAGAGGAAGGCAGCGCCCTGAGGTCCCTTAGCTCCATGGCCCATTTTACAAAGGGTGACACTGAGGCTGAGATTGAGTGCAGCCTGCCAGGGTCCCTCGTCCCGGGAGAAGACAGACCCTCAGTCACTGTCACAGCTACACCAGCCCCACCCCTAGGGCGTCCACGAAATCTTCCTGCAAACTCACGTCACAGTGTTTTTTTTCAGGATGCTGTATCCCCAGCCCAAGGTGCTCATTCCCTCGTGAGTAAATTTATTGAGAACTGACGCAGTCCTGGGCGCTGTTCTAAAGGCACTGAAGGGTGGTTCCGTTGACATCTCTGCTGGAGCTGGCTTTGCAAATTCTTTTCCTCTGGGGTCTTTCTGAGAGCCGAATTGGAGCCCACAGAGTATTCTCTGTCCTCTCCCTCTGTGGCTTGCATTTCTTGTTTTCTATCTTCTGTCTACCAAAGAATGTGCAGAGGCGTGAGGGGCGCTTCTTCCCTCCCTGGGGAGAGCCCACCCCTCTGCTGGCAACTCCCAGCTCCCCCTCTGAGTCCAGCAGGGTCCATCGTTCCGTGAAAGCTGGAGTAATTTGCACAGATTTGAGTCTGGCTTTGCATCGGGTTGGTTTCCTGCAAATGCCAAGTTTTAGAAGGATGGTCAGCCCTGGGGGGGCACCGAGGGGACGGAGGCTGAGTGGGGGTGGTGAGCACCGGGGCTGCATGTGTTCATCCTCCTGCCAGCTCACACGTGGCCCTGTGGCTCTCCCGCGGTGCAGTAGGAAAGACGTCCTTGTCCTGACCCCTTGGCTGGCCCCCATCATCTGGGAGGGGACCTTCAACATTGACATCCTGAACGAGCAGTTCCGGCTCCAGAATGCCACCATCGGACTGACTGTGTTTGCCATCAAAAAGTAAGTGGGTGAGACGACAGGGTAGAGACCGGGAGGTGGGAGTGACCAGGGACATCAGGATTTGTCCTTGTGTCCAGGGCAGAGTAGGGTGGGGACCCCGCCCTGTCCTCCTGAGGGGCAGATGTGCAAGTCCATTCATTCAGCAGTCTTACTGGGCTCTCCTGGGCTCCGAGTGGACACCACCCGGCTCCTTCTCGGGAGGCTGCGTGTCACCCAGGATGGCAGCTCCACCTGCTGGCCCCTCCCTCACCCCTGACATGGCAGACACGTCAGTGACCCCAGCACACTCCCTCACTGAGCCTGGGAGCAGCTGCAGACCCTCTGTCCAGGCCGCAGGGGTCCCTCCACCAACCTGAGAAGCAGAAGGGAGGAAGCCTGTTGGCCTCCGTGGATGGGTAGAAGGGTGATGCCCACAGACCTGGGCTCCTCCCGTTGCTCAGATGCAGGATAAGGGGACAGCGAGGGGGACAGCCAGGGCAGGCACAGCACTCGGTCCCAGACCCCAGGCCCCTGAGAGGGAGCCAACAGTGAGGCCCTGGGATGCCGGGGTCAGGTCACTTCTCGGGGAATGAACTGCAGGCAGGTGGCTCGACCTCTCAGCCTCTGGAAGGGGGCTGGCGGCAGGACCTGCTCACAGATTGCCGCAGGGGGTGAAAGCCAGTAGACACCTGGCCTGCCTTCCCCCACAGAGCTCGCCTGAGACCCGCAGGAGGGGCGGAGGCCTCTGCAACCCCCTTTCCCAGTTCAGACCTGAGAGCCCAGGTGCAGGGACTAAGAAGGGCACAGGGTCGCCTCCGAATTCGTACTCTAGTTCTGTGGACAAGGGACTGTGGGATCACCAACCAGAAACCTCAGTGCCTGGCACTGGGGTTTGTAAGGGGGGGAGGGGGACCTGCAGGGCGTTATGGGGGGGAGGGGGACCCACAAGGGGTCATCAGGGCCGAGAGGACCCGCAGGGGGTCGTTGGGGGGAGGGGGACCCGCAGCGGGTTGTCAGGGGTGAGGGGACCCGCAGGGGTTTGTCAGGGGAGGGGGACCGCAGGGGGTTGTCAAGGGAGGGGGACCCGCAGGGGGTCCGCCCCTGGAGCTCAGCACAGGGGTGTGACCCAGCTCCAGCTTTGCTGACTGTAGCACTGGGAGGTTTCCGGCACCCTAAGCCTCAGGCTTTCCTGTGTAAGATGGGGTGCTGATGGCCCCCCATTTCAGGGAGCAGACGATTAGGGGGGCACAGCCCGCAGACTCGCTCAGGCCGGGCCAGGAAGAAGGCGCACACGGTGGGGGCCCCTGGGATTCGGGGTCCCTCCGCCGGCTCGGCAGTGACCCTCGTCCCGGGCCTGCTCTCCGCGTATCTGCAGATACGTGGTCTTCCTGAAGCTGTTCCTGGAGACGGCGGAGAAGCACTTCATGGTGGGACACAGGGTCAACTACTACGTCTTCACCGACCGGCTGGCCGAGGTGCCTCACGTGCCCCTCCGGGAAGGCCGGCAGATGGTGGTCCTCGAGGTCCCCGCCTCCGCGCGCTGGCAGGACGTGTCCATGCGCCGCATGGAGATGATCAGCAGCTTCTGCGAGCAGCGCTTCCTCCGCGAGGTGGACTTCCTCGTGTGCGCGGACGTGGACATGAGGTTCCGCGACCACGTGGGCGTGGAGATCCTGTCCCCGCTCTTCGGCAGCTTCCTGAGGAAGCTGAGATACGTGGCCGTGCCCAAGAATCACCGCGCCATCCGGAACCGATGAGGGGCTGCGCGGAGGGCGCGGGAGGCCGCCCGTCTCCCTCCTGGGGGGCCGCCCTGATCGGAACCTTCATCGCAGACCCGGCAGCTCCACTGCTTTTCTGTCCTGTTGAGGTAAATTGTTGAGGCCTAGCACCGCCCCTCCCCGGTACAGGCCGGCCCAGCGCTACACCCCTGCCACACACACACACACACTCACACACTCACACTCACACAAACACACACGCGGCCTCAGGCACACAAGTTCTTGGAGCAGCTGGCCCACCTTCAGCTGCTCACTGGGTGCTCCTAAGGTCCTTCAGCGCCCCTGACACAGGTGGTCTCAGCCCTTTGTGACAAACGAGATCAGAGATGATGTCTCTTCCAGAGCAGGAAGGAGGCCCCAGCACGCTGGGTCACACAGGCCTGGGGGGCCCACAGCTCCAGCTTTAGGCCAAATTCCTTCCTTTTCTGGAGTCCTGGGCTTAGATGAAAGGTCCCTTGGGCACGCACGCAGGGGATGAAGGTGAGGCTGTTTCAGGACCCTCCTGGCTGGCGCCTGGCTCCCCCACCAGCCCAGGGCACAGCCCACTGCCCACCGGGAGCTGAGCAGTCCCCTTCTCCCGTCACCTCAGGCCCCTCTCATTTTACTCAGGAGCTGCGGGTTCCCTGTTCCTGAGAACAGAACATTTCTAGATGATAATAGGAACTTGCTGACTGTCATAAAAACCTGTCTCCTTTACTTCAAAATGATTTCTGTGCCCCTCAGCCAGGCCCTCGCGTGGCCTGAAATGCTGCTTTCCCCTCTCAGGAGACAGAGGGAAGTCACACATTGCACAGTTATTTCTCTTCTGTGGTTGGTAAATACTCATAATTTCTGAGTCCTTTGCCGCTGTAAGAGGCCTGGGTTCTCTGTCAGATATTCTCCCGTGTCAATGCTGAGCAACTGTTTTTATGTAAGAACAATTCAGGAAAAAGGTTTTCTCCTTTATTCACAATGAGCACAGCCTGGTGGGGCTGGGAGAGGCTCTAGAGCCAGAACAGGCCCTGTGCCAGGTCCTCCCCTCCCAGTCCAGCTCCACCCTGTGGCCATGAGGGTCAAGGGTGTGCGTCTCAAGCCTTTCAGCTTCCTGAGCCAGAAGCCTGGCCGTGACCCCTCAGCGAAGGATCTGGGTCATTTCTGGTTTTAAACGGGTATTTCTGTGGTGGCTTTTGTCTGGATGTGCGTCCCGCTGGGATTCCTCGGTGCTCACTGACGAATTTGCGCTCCTGCACTCTCTTTGGAACTGTCTGCCTTCAGGCACCCAACTTGGGGCAGAGCATGAGGGGGTGAAAAAATATGCGCGACCCTGCTCCGGGCCCTCCTCGGATGGGGCGATGGCTCCTTCCTCCTGAGTCACTTCTTTCTTATTGTGGTCAAATATACAGAACATCCACCATCTCAATCGTGTCCAAGTGTGCGGGTCAGGGGCATTAAGTACATTCTCTGTGGGGCAGCCATCTCCTCCCTTGTCTCTAGAGCTTTCTCGTCTCCTCCCACTAGCCAGTCACTCCGCAGCCCCGTCCTGCAGAGCCTGGCCCTCGGTTCTGCTTCCTGTCTGTGACTCTGGCTGCTCTCGGCCCCTCATGTAAGTGGGGCCATCCAGCACTTGTCTCTTAGGGACTTGCTTCCTTCAGCAGCACCGTGGTCTCAAGGGCCGTCCACAGTCAGCCTGGAGCCTGCGCCCCTTTTCGCCCCAAGGGAGTCGCTCCGTCACTCTCTTGGCTCTCCTGTCTACCCTGTGCCTCTTCAGTCCCCTTTGGTCTCTCCTCCTCATCTGCCCCCCTCGGCCTCCGCCAGTGCCACCTGTCCCCTCCAGACGCACATACCTGGGGGCCGCGGGCCCCACCTGCCCATGTCAGGTCCCTGCTCTCCACCCCACCCTGCCTAGCCACCTGCTCCTCCCACAGATGTCCCCATCTCAGGAGAGGGAAGCCCCAGGCCCAGAGCCTGGGGGTCATCTGTGACTTCTCGCTTGCCGCCACCTCCAAACTGTCCACAGATCCTGCCGGCTGTCCTCCCTCCAGCCGTTTATGGTCACCGTCCACTTCTACCGGCCTGATCCCGGCCGCAGTCCTCTTGGCCTGGACTGTAGGAATAGCCTTCCGCCTGGTCGTCCTGCTTCCACCCTGAGCCCTCCAGTCCCCAGTCCCCTCAGCAGCCAGACAGATCCCAACAGTGGTCCACAGAGTCACTCCTCTGCTGGGGCCCTGCGGGGCTCCCATCCCACCCGGAGTCAGCGTGTCTCCAGGGGCCTCCACCTCCACCGCGTACCGGTTCACACTCGAGGTCAGACCCAGGCGGTACCAGACCTCAAACTTACAGTTTGGGGGCCCTTCAAGGAAAAGAATAAACACTTAGGTACCACGGGAATATTTAGAATGAGAAAGGAAGTTGCACCATCTGCCTCCCACTAGGAGCCTCCCAGCTATACTGGGCCCCTTGCTTTCCCCCAAACCCCAGGCCTTCAGATGATCTCTACAGGGGGCCTCCCCCCAGAGGGTTGTATTCCTTCCTCCCCCACTCTTTCAGATCTGTGCTCATGTGGCCACTCGTCAGAGTGTCCTTCCCTGGCCACCTAACCTACAATAGCAACCCCAGCCTGCCTGTGCCACTCCTTCATCGTCACACCAGCCCCTGAGCCCCTCTCTCTTCTCCATCTCTTAACTTTGTCATTTGGAGAATGTTGTATAAATGGAATCATTCATTCTGTGACCTTTTGAGATTTGTGTGTGTGAAGAGTTCATTGCTTTTTGTTGCTGAGTAGTATTCCGTGGTCTGGAGGGCCTGCACTGTGTTTAACCAACCATTCACCTATTGAAGGGCGTTTTGGTTCTTTGCAGTTTGGGGCTATTTAAAATAAAGCTACGAGACAGACAGGGTGCGCAAAGCAGAAGGATTAGTTGGGACCTGCCTTGGTGACCCCATGGCATCCCCCAGAACCGTAACTGTCGTGGCCCTCTCAGTGGCCCTGGGACTCTTCTTTGTTTTCATGGGGACTATCAAGTTGACCCCCAGGCTCAGCAAGGATGCCTACAGTGAGATG